ATAGGGGAAATAGGTAAAACCTTTATAATACATCTTCTACTATAGGGATTAAGGGATTTTATCCTTATTTAGTCTGGAGCATCCTTGGGCAAAAGAGACTCAATTTCATATTATAATTGTTATGTTATGAGCCCCGTTGTACTTAGCTATTTATTGAAACATCCCATTATAATTACGAATTCCGAAAACTCGGATTCTGATTTTTATTACATTGAATGACTCGGTAAAAGTATGTAAAAAATAACTACACGCACATGTCATACACGTATTTACATTATCTTTAACTTTATCTGTTACAGGTTGGCATCATAGATTGAACAGCAAAGCGGGACAAGCTAATTTCCTGTTCTACATCCTGGTTCCCCTGCTCCTGAAGGAAGGCTCCCTGGTCAACTTCCAGATGAGACTGGTGTCCGAGTCTTCATTACAGAGGTACCAAAGGACAACCTACCACCGAATCCAGGGGAAGGTAGCGGAGCTGTGGGACCAGTATGACCAGGATGTCATCTCCACTTCTGTGTTCCTGTAGAGGGTGGGGCACGTCTATGCACCGAGAGTAATGGCTGACCAGCAGTATGACATATGTACAGTTCTTTTTACAGATTTGGACATTTATGGTTTTGTAATTTAAAACATTGCATTAAATTTGGACATTTTAGTGAAATCTCAGAAAAAACTTCGGCAGACTAAATTTGTGTGGCTCTTACAGAGGGGGCCTCCACGTGGCAAGAGCTGGACAACAACAATGTATGCATTGTTGGCTGACACCCTCTAATTATATTCACTAAACATAAATAACAATTATCTAATGGGAAACAAATTGAATGCTAACTTCATTTAAAATCCAATCAAATTGTATATCACGATTTAAAAAGTAGGGCAGTTTCAACTAGGGCCGTTTTTACACTAGCTGAGGCCGTTTTGACCTAGATTCATTGATATGGGGTCAAATGTCAGGGGGTGTTCCCGTCCCACTTTACTGGTTTGGTTTATAAACTTTCGGTTGTTAAAACCAGACGTCTGTTACGCTCTAATATACCACTAAACCTGCCAGAAAATGACTTTTGAAGCCTTTGTCAGGTATGTATCTGTGAATCTAGACAGTTGTCACTTCAGTTGAACTTCAAATATTAACGCTATTACCTCAAAAGCTTAGAAATAACAAATAGTAAATCATTTAGTTGTGCGAGTCCTATTATAGAGAAAGGCAGCAAGAAGCCAGAGTTGCAAGATATAGCAGCAAACATACATGATGTATGTCGGAGAAATGTCATCAGTATATACACTGTGTGGATTTATAGAAATAACAGTGAGAAGGCAGATCACCTTAGCAGGCGCATGGATAGTGATGATTGGTATATAGAGGAATGTGGGTACAGAAAGTTACACACAGATTGGGGAAAGCCTTCCATTGATAGGTTTAATTGTTTGTTTGTTTGTGTTTTACGTCCTATAAACAGCTATGGTAATTTAAATACATGCCAGGATTTTATCGTGGAGGAAAGCTGGAATTCCTGGAGAAAAAACACCGACCAACAGCCAGTACCTGGCAACAGCCCCAAATAGGTCTCTAACCCGCGACTCAGTGGTTGAGGGCTAGTGGTAGCAGATTGTCGGACACCTTAACCACTTGGCCACCGCGGTCCCCTCCCCATTGATAGGTTTGCGAGTAATTTAAATGCCAAATGTAAGGAGTTTATTTCCAGATGGTGGACACCAGGTACAAGTGGTGTGGATGCTTTTCAACCAGCATGGGGTCCCAGGACCAACTGGTGGGTGTCACCACCTAGATTAGTTAGCAAGACAATGTACAAAATTATCAAAGAAAAAGCTAAAGGAGCTTTGATCATTCCAATGTGGGAATCGGCTCCTGTTTGGCCAAAGGTACATAAAAATGGAAAGTTCATGTCATTTGTCAGGGATATGAGAATATACAGTCTAATGTTGTATTGTAAACAAAGGCAATGGTAGTAATGGAATATTTTGAAATTGAAGTTCAAAATTCAAGATGGTTGCCTTACATATTGAAGTATAATGTATGTTTGTTACAGACTTAGGACTGAAAGGCACACTGGAGGAGGAGGAGGAGGAGGAGGAGGTGAAGCAGGCTGGAGTGGTGACTGAGAATCTGGACAGACCGACGTCCATCTGTTAAAATTGAGGAGTGACTCTACGAACAAAAAGTATTTTGGTGCTTTTCAAAGGTGGGAACAGTTCATTAAGTGCAAAGGGGGAGTGCCTTACATTGTACCCACTGAATCCATTCATACTTGCTTTATATATGACAAAGCTGATAAAACATCTGTGAGTGTTATTCAGTCAGCTTTATATGGTATAAGGTGGGCGCACAGTGGTCACAGTTTGAAGGGTCCTACAGACATTCATTTTGTATCAACTTTATTTGAATCAGCCAAAAAAAAGATATTTTAACTACAGAGCAAATTGTTCAGTTATGTGAGAAGTATGATAGTACCAAAGAATATTGTGATTTTGAGAGATTTATCAATGATTGTTTTATTCTTTTCTGGAGTTTTAAGATTTGATGAAGTCAGCTCCTTAAAATGTGAAGATGCTACTTTTAGAGAGAAAAAATTGACATTGTATATATCTAAGAGCAAGACAGACCAATATATATATATAGACAGGGAAATAGAGAGCCTATCTAGATCTCTTATACCAGAGCAAGGGAGACAATCGTTGCTAGATTGAAAGAGGTTTGTGGGGATGTCAATTTGGGTTTACATTCCCTGAGCTATGGAGGGGCTTCTATGGCAGCCAGATCCTTTGTAAATGAAAGATGCTGGAAAAGGCATGGTCGCAGGAAGGGTGATGTATCCAAGGACAGATATGTGGAGGATACGACAGAGCATACACTAGGAGTATCAAAGAAGCATAAGTTGTAGAATTTATGGGCATTTTGCTCATGTATCATTGTTAATTGCTCGTTCTTTGTATGTGTTCAGTGAGCAGGATCATCCTATTTCATAGTTGTGTTGTTTATTGTGTCGAGATAGGTTTACTGTCCAGCATAGGACAGACTATTATTTTCCTGCGCTTCGGAGTCTAGCAGGAAACATTTGTCTATTCAGGTACGACCAGACACGTTTACGGGTAATCATGAATATTCATGAGGTGTTTGACGGGTGTACAAGATATTTGGTTTAGCACTAGGGAGTAGTGAATACGTGTATAAGTTGATCATTCTGGCCTCGGAGCTGGCAGTATACGGTCAATTTTAGTTTTTGCAAAAATTAAAAATATTTTGATTTTAAAAAGGAACAGATTTTACGACAACATTTTTAGAGATTAAAAGTGTGGTTTTTAGCTCACCTGCCCGAAGGGCAAGTGAGCTTATGCCATACCACAGCGTCCGGCGTCCGGTGTCCAGCATCAAATTTTCCCTTTAAAAGGCTTTTATCTCCTGAAGACTGATTGGATTTTAACTAAATTTGATATGAGGCATCCTTGGGACCAGGGGATCAACAGATTTATGAAATAAGGGTGTGGCCCCCTATGGGGCTGAGTAAGGGGCCAAAAAGGGGAAAATTTAGAAAAGATTAAAAAATCTTCTTCTCCATTTCCAGAAATGCTAAAACCAAATACTACTCATAGTTGTAAAGGCCTTTGGGTGGTTTATGAAAATTGTGATTTTCATGTCTCCTAGCCCGCCCGTTTGTTCCTGGGGAGGGGGTGAAATTTAGTATAGTTTATATAGAAAATATACATAATATCAACCATATTTGACTGGAAGCATCCCTAGGTGGTGGAGATTCAAAATTGTACAAATGGTTGGGCTGGCCCCCCAGGGGGCTGAGGGGTGGGGCCAAAAGGGGGCAATTTGGCTATATTGCTATAAACGACTTCTTCTGTAGAACTATGCCATGGATATCGATCATATTTGGTCGGAAGCATTCATTGGAGGCAGGGATTCAAAACTGTACAAATGGTGGGGCTAACCCCCCGGCTAAGAGATGGGGCCCAAAACAGTTTATTACTTGGAAATGGTTGAGATCCCCACCGTATAACCATATAAGCATTGGCTGAGTATAAAGAGAAGAATGCACATTTGCTTCCAGGATGGCCCTAGGGTCTGGCCCCACCCTTGGAGACATAGTCCCTGGGTCATAACTTTGAAATGGTTGATATCCCCACCCCAAAACTATATATACAAATGCTGAGCATAAAGAGACAAATGTAGTCATGATATTAGAATAGACCCTGGGGTCTGACCAAGCCCCTAGGGACCTAGTTTCTGAGTCACAGCTTGGAAGCTGTTGAGATCCCCACCCCATAACCATACATTAAATTGCTGGGCATGAAAAATCTAATACAGAAATGCTACAAGGATTGGCCTTGGGGTCTGGCATATTCCCTTGGTTCTCATTTGGAGAATATTTTGCCATGATTGCTTAGATATCCAGGTGAGCGATACAGGCCCTCTGGGCCTCTTGTTTTTGTGTCTGGATTGACAGATCAGTGGAGATATTTTAAGCGTGAAGCAAACAAATTGTTGTACATTTTATTATGATATACAATAGGGTAGTGTTAAGCGCCATCAGGTTTTCCAGAGCTTTTCAGTTTTATCTCTGGTTTATGGTATTCATTATAATCATGATATGAAGTTGTGTCTCCCTTAAAAGAATTTTGATTCGACAATTTTTCCACAAGTTATTGCCCTTTGTTCATTTCAGTATTTGAATTTTGTCAGGAGATCTCCTCCTACAATTTTTGACCGATCTCTTTGAAACTTGGTATACATGATAATCATGATATGAAATTGTGTCTCCCTTAAAAGGATTTTGATTGAACGATGTTTGCAAAATTTATTGCCTTTTGTTCATTTCAGTATTTGATTTTTTGAGTTTTTCTAATACATTTTTTATAGCATATCAGCTAACCACTCTTAGAATGATGCAGATCTTATTTCAATGTAAGAAAGTATATAATACTATATGGCATTCGACGGGCGTATTTTGTTCCCCCGGGGTACTCTTGTTTATTTTGTGTCTCTTCTGAATTTTACACTGCAATGATTGACTTTGTGCTTTATTGTATAAATGTCTTTTTTGTTCTTTATCTAGGTCCTTGGACACAGCTTCCAGCAGTGATCTGAGACCCAACCCCACTACACAGTTCTTGAATGGCAGTCCCCAGTCCATGGTTCACAGAATACACCACCCTATGAGCTCTCCCTGAAAAGGTACGAGTAAAGTTCACACTTGATGGGAGAGACCGCTTCAGCCGTCTGTTCACAGATTCTACCTTTTGGGTCATCAGGTTCCACAGGGTCTTTTCCAACACGGAGTCACTGAGACGGGCATCAACTTTCTCCATCAGAATTTTTGACACAGTTGCCTCTCCACCGCTGAACTTGAAATCACTTGGTAAGTAGATGTTGTCTGGTAGCCAGTTATTTCTTTCCTTCCTGCACACACTATTGATTTGATCCTGCACTCACAATGTACACCTTGGTAACAATTCACGATTGCCTCCCTTACACCATGAGCAGCACGATGTAAGGGATCAATAAGACTCCCACAATGTCTGTCGTACAGGTGATACAGCTCTGCCTGACACCTAGCAGCTAGGTCACAAGTAAATCTTTTCTTAATTGTTTGTCGCTCTTTCTTAGTGGATCCCAGCATTATTTCCTCAAGTTACACACATTTTGAAATGTTTTTTCTAAAATTCCTTGTTAAATGAATAGGGTCCAAGGTTATGTGTTCACTTTGTACATGACGCACCATTTTTGTATCTCTTTTCAGCAGCCTTAAATGCACCTGTATCTGAGTCGGCGACAAGCTTGTACACCTCCAGGCCGTCTTTTTTGAGGTTCTCCAGACTTTCATAGCAGTATGCTTGTTCATTACCAATTGATGAGGCCAGAGGTAAGTTACCTTTACAGTGTGAGGTATATTCACTTTCCATATAATGCATAGTTTGTTTTTGGTGACAAGGTCCACCACATACTGGTCCTTGGTGTTGTGTTCTGTTGTGCTGAACATAACTTGTGTTGCTGGCTGGAACGGAGTCTTCTTCGCACCAGAATAAATTGGGTTTTTGTATATGGCATCCCCCATCAGGTCTACTTTGTTTGGCGGGTTTCCTCGGTGCGTGTTGATTTCTTTTATCCTCTTTCGCAGTTCATCCATGTCGATCTTGTTGAGTTCCTCTATCTGGTCACCTACTTTATTGATACTCTTCTGCATTCCTTTCTTTGAGGGGGCAGGAATGTTGGCACTCATCAGGGTGAGCCACAGTGCGGCATTGCCAATTCTTGTCTGTGTCAGTCCGACTTGCACTGCAGAATTTGTCTGCACGGTGTCTCTCCCCTTCCTGCCTGGTTCCCGCCTTCGTTCGTACAGAGAATACACACTGGACACATATGTACACTTTGTGCATTTGAGTCCTATTCACCACCCTAGCCCCCGGCACTCCGGTGTCTTAAAATCAAAGTCCAGTGTTTCCCTTGCATGATGGAGTAAGAGTCGGATGTTGATGTACAGCATCATTCCACATATTTCCCATCCTCCCAATGTTTACTATTCTGTTGGTCCTGTATTCCGCACTTTCCCTGTAAAGAAAAGGAGACATGTTTGGATAATAAACATAAAAATGTACATTTAATGTATGTGTAATGACTTTCAATTATATGTTTTTATATTTCAGGTTTCTTTTGACTTACCTCAGTGGTTCATCTTTGGCCACCGGGGAAGGACGGAGCAGCCTGTGAGAAGATGTCCGATGTAAAGGTGGGGACTTTGGGGCTTTCCCAAACTGGTCATGTAATTCACTTGTTAACCGTACTGTTGGGACTTGGTCCATGTCAGAATGAGTCCATCTCTCAATTTTCTCTCCGTTTTTGTAATACGGCTGCTTTCCTTTCTTAAACCGTCCGGCATTTTTCTGAGGTCTCACCATCTCTCACTTTGCATGTATCTGTCTCTGGTATGTTTCAGTGGCTGATTATTGCCCTTTTTATATACATTAGTAAACAATAGGAAGCCTTGTGTCAGTATTTACACTAATTAAGACTGGCAGACATCTGCCCCCCTGGTGTCTGCACTTGGTTAGCAGCCCTCTCCCATCACTGTCTTTCATCTCAGCTGGTGTTATGTAAACATTCTGTAATCCTACCATTGTGGTGTTGTACTGTTATAAGTTTTTTTGGCTCTTTTCTCTAAATAATTGCTTGTCCTGAATTTTTTACATAAAGTCCAAAATTAAGGGGGTATAGGTCTTAAAATTGAGTGATCTCCCCTGATCTTCAGACAATATGTTATTTTTGTTTATATTTCTGAGTAGTACAGTACCTGTACTTTCATGGAAACTCAAAACCATAAGTCTAAGTATAATGTTTATTAAGATATTTTAATTTATATTTTGAAATTGATTCAATTTTCCTGTCTTTTCTTGCAGGAATCTCCAATCATAACAATGTTACAATCTCATATGATAATATGATAATACATGTAAAATAATAACTGATGCTATATTTTAACTTTTATTTTCCAAATAGTGAAACTTCTGGAGGTACAACATTTGTGTCCGCTGAAGGTCTGCGGGATGCCTGCCAGTTATCAAAATGCTGGTAGACCATGGTTTGCTCTAACCATGAAACTTAGGGCCACCTCTTCCTCTTTGAAGAGCAAACCTCTTCCTCTTTGAAGAGCAATGGCATGTCTTGTGGTCAGGGCCTTTCCATCCGCAAAAATGGAGATCACCGTCCAGATCCAAAAAGTAATGGGATTAAAATATATACTTATTGCACTTTAATGAAATGTTAATTCTAGAGAAACATTGCTCAAAATACATTGTAAATGTTTCATGTTTGAAAATGTCTGTGGTCTTGAAAACATTCCCATACAAAATAGTACTTTTTTTTTTCAGACTTTTTCGCTGGATTCTATCGCAAAAACAGCCTCTCCATACCAGATTTGAAGGATTTCAACAAACCTGTCAATGAGGGAGTGAGCTATGCCCCCAAGAAGTTGACTCTTAAATTGTGAAATCCAAAATACTGTGATTATGGAGACATTTTTGGCCCTTAATTACCAAAATAATATGCGGACGTTTTTGTTTGGCAGTTGTGTTCGAAACTTTACATAAACCTAGGTGTGTCCAATTAGTGTGAATAACTCCATTGTTGTTTTTTGAAGGCAGCTCCTGCCAATTCCTCAATATTGTATTGATTAATGTATATGCTAATTGTATTGATTGTATAAAATTGTATATCTATGTACTGTAAAGTGCTTTAGAGTGGCTTATGTAAGCTAGATAAGGCACTATATCAAATGTTGTATATTTATTTTAACAACCATGGTAGCCCTTCATCCCAGCATGCTACTGGCCAAATATCATCACTTTGGGCATTTTGGTTATTCAGAAGAAGTTTTAAACATATTTGACCCCTGTGACCTTGAATAATGGGTGAAGGTTATTCAGAAGAAGTTGTATAAAGTGAAATATTGAGGCTGGATTAGGGACGCTGGACGGACGACGCACCACGGCATAATCTCACTCGGCCCTTCGGGTGTATGTCTTTACAAGGCCACGTATTCAATGTGAAATATGTCAACAATTACCTATTTAAATTACTCTAAGGCACTGTATCAAACCGGAACAAATTTTAGGTATGTATTACAATCCTATGAAACACTTGGTGATTGGCCGATTTAGTTGTGCAAGTCCTAACAGGGTATACATTTTCTTTACATTTTTAGCGAAGGGCAAATGAGCATATGCCATAGCACAGTGTCCGTTGTCCGTCTTGAACTTTTCCTTCAAAAGCTTCTAATCCTGAACAGCTCAGTGTATTTTAACTAAATTTGGTCTGGAGCAACCTCAATTTTGTATAAACAGTGGATGTGGATTTTGACATTTGAAGTTTTTTCTCGCTATATATGTATGCATAAGTACATACAGTATCTATCATGGAGTGTTATATCTTTACCTCATATCAGGTACTTTAAACACGTCTAGGTGAGCGATACAGGCCCTCTGGCCCTTTTGTTAGTATACCAAATAAAGTTGTAACTTTACTGTATCTTTTTACTAGAACTGTTTCAGTATACTTTTTTGTGTACTTTTTAAGTACCTAAATAAAGTGGCCAAATGTAACTTGTATGTACCTTTTTGTTTGTCAATACCTTTTTGTAACTTTTTAGTACTAGATTGAAACACTCTTTCTCAAGGTTCCAATCTAGCATCGAAAGTACTTTTTATGCGCCCGTCATCCGTATTATGGTATGGGCTGCGTTGACCGACTGATGTCCGTCCCCCCATCTGTAAACTTTTCCTTGTCAATACTCTCCTGCCTCCTGGTACACATATTGCGAGTTCGCATTTAAGAAGTCTTTGTGCATTTTTGATTGAGTTATGCCCCTTTTATCGCCTAATCAAGGTATTGTGTAGTAAATGCAAGAACTTCTTTTAATTTTTAATCAATTCTTTTCAAATTTTGTACCGTAATGCTAGAAGCAATAATGTTCAACATATATTAAGGGTCGTTCTGTTAAGTTTCAACTTTCTGCGTTTTGGCATATATCACACTTGCCATAGCAACGCTGTTCATCTTTTTTGCCATTAATTTTTACTCGTTTTGTGGGATGTTTCATTTCCAATGAAAGCATTTAAATATCACGATTTAAGAACTCGTCCAATGCAATGTGGCATTTTTTTTCTCTTTTTCATTGTGGGGCTATATGCTCCTTTCATTGCCAAATAAGGGCTTTGTGAAGTAAATGTCTCAAAAGCTCCTCATCTGTACAGCTGAGGTACAACTTGGCCCTTATGAATATCAATTCAGGGTCATGTATTTGAAACTTCGTCTGTATAAGCCCTTTGATTATGAAGTAGTATTTATAGCGGATAAAGAAACAAGATGTTTTCCACATTTCCAAATAAATATAAATAACTATTTGTCTTAAGGAAGGAAGTGACAACACATTTAGACGATACACTAACTTAAAAATATAAACAAGCCGATTTCTCCCTTCGTGGTTGCTAAGTCAATAATTAGGTTGATGGGTAATTAAATAAAAATATTTTGTATTGGTACATATATACATATCTAAGCTTACTTTAACCCCAGTTTAGAACTTTGTGAATTTCTATCCTACATTGTTGTTGACATTGGGATAGCAGTACCATTGCTATGGATATAATTTATTATTGTTTCTTGTTTTATAGTATGATACTAGAATCCGTTAATAAATTTTTTCTTGTAAAAGCCAACACTGTTGTTTCCTGTGTATTATAACTAGGCAATATTGGTCTGGTAAAAAAATGGTTGCCAAGGTCAGAAGTTGGTTGCTATGGAAAAATATAATATTGAATGTAGGATATTGTCAATTCATTGTACACGTTTGCAATCAACTTATAACTGATAAATTTTAAAACTATTTTCTTTCCAAAATGTTAACCAAACCTCACTAAAAGGGGAAAAACCTACCGCAAATTATAGGTGGGTTGCTAGGCAATGCTGTCGGAATTCTTTGAAACTGCACTTTTTGTAAATGTTAAATGTTGATATGGTATTTAAAAATTAAAGAAATCCAAGGTGGGGCCGAAAATGGCCCTTAGTGCACCTACCTCTTTAGTCGAAATCTACTTGGCCATTCAGGACTACAGGGTAGTAGCGTTTTTAAGGGGAAAGTTGACTGATGACGACAGACACTGCGGTATGGCTTAAGCTCACCATGGTCCTTCGGACCAGCTGGGCGAGCTAAAAATGAAGATTACCTCCCTTTGCTAACTATGGTAGAATTGAAACTACCAAAGTACTATATTCTGCAGATCCTCTTTGATTTCCGAGAGAAACTTTAAACATACTTATTTAGGAAGTAATACATTTCTTCATGTACATATGTAATAGCACATATCTTTGGACCCTCTCCAACTCATATCCGCCAGGTTCAACATTAATATAATTCTAATTTTGTATTACATAATATATAATTTATTATTGTTTCTTGTTTTAAGTATGTTTACAGTTGCTTCCTTGCTGTTAAAAGTTCTACATCACAACAAAGACAAATAAATAAGGTTTCTCAGATTTATTAAGGAGCATATAAGGTGTCTCATAACACCAAATAATTAATTAGTAGTAAACTCTGAACTGTTCATATCAATTTTCCTGTTGTTCAATCCATTTGATCAATCAATAAAATTTATTGAAACAGAAAAACAATGATGCATTTCCGGACATTAATTAACATTAAGGTTAAGAAAAACACAAAAATATAATTGAACAATTCTTTTTCATGGAGATGGGGGCAAGGTATATAAATATATTGCATGTACAATCTTAGAAAACATTTCAGCATTAATATGGAATAGAAATGCTTGAATATCTTTTTGTTATTCTCCCAATTTTCTTTTGTCCATGTTTAGGCATTGAAAGTATGAAAATATTTAACTTATATCAACCATTTTTGATGGTTGCACACAGGGAGGTTTTAATGTGGGAGGAAACCCACGTGGTTGGGGCGGATGACCACATATATCTTTCAACCTTGGTGAAAGGGGAGTGCGCTGACCACCCAAGTCATTACTGTATATTATTGATTATCTGTCTGCATGGAAACTTATAAATTGCATTAACCTGTGTAAACCAGACCTTTAACTTGGTCTGTTACATTTATCTAACTTGGTTTGTGTTTTACATCCTATTAACAGCTAGGATCAGTTATGGATGGGCAATGTTTGGTGGTGGAGAAAACCGGAGTATCTGTTGTTTCTTATTGAGGTCATTGCATGATTAATATGACCTTTGTAAGATAAAGCTGGAGAAAAAATAACAAAAAACTCCATAAAGTAGAGTAAAAAAAATCACACAGATTTCCAAAACTTTGTTACATTGATATGATATCACACACCTGGAAATATTTTACCATTTCAGTTATGCCTAAAGTGGCATACAAATATATATAGGGTCTTAAATGAGTTTTCATTTCATATGAGATTTTATGAAACAAGTCTTGGGATTTTCGAGAAAAGTTTCATAAAAGCTCATATGAAATGAAAACAATGTTATCACATAACTCAGAAAACTTACAGGTATAGTTCTTTTCAAAAGATAACCTAAAGTTTACTTTAATCTCTGTTGATTGGGTTTGACACCCAATCAACAGAGATAGCCCTTCATCAAATGACTCACGGACAACATTTTGATAAGATCATAATAAAAAAACACATAATTTTGTAATTTTAGGATCAAATGTCTTTAGGTCACTTATTCATAGTGAACAGCTCCATATATCAATTGAAACATTTCTTCGTCCCAGGTTACAGGTTCAAATTTACAGATATTTTTCAGCAGCCTGCTTGTGCACAAGTGAAGATTTTGTAGATACCGGGAATACAGGATACACAGTGTTGTCATGTTCTGTAAAAGTAAAATAAGAATGATTGTAGAAATCAGTGTTAAATATTAGCAGAGGATAAGTGGTTTTTTTATTTCACTCCATTATAAAGAGCGAGTTCACTAATATATCCTAATCACAACAAAAAATCATAATTTGTAAGTGATTACACTACTTACAGGTAAAATTCTTTACTATCTATCTCATTCTTAGTTTTTTTAAGAAACGTTAAAACTTATGGTTCTGTGAAAAATTGACATACTGTTGTACATGCAAGAAATTTGTATTGTTTGCAATGCCTTGTTGAAACAAGATTCTATAAACCTTACCAAAACACTAGACTTGCAATATCCAATCCGATTTGGAGGAAATTCGTTCCTGAACTTTAACGGTATGTAGCTCAGTTTGAAGGGCGACAGGTTTTAGATCAATCCGGCCTATTGCATGTTTTTCCATCCAGTGAAATGATGTACATTCCACCCACAGTGTTGCAATGGCATCCAGACTATCAACAGTTCTGCATCCAACTAGCTCCTGTCTGAAAAATATCAAAAGCCAAATATCCTTTTGCCATTTAAATGTTACTTTGAACAAGTATATTGCTATTAACAAGGGTTTCCTTTAACCTTAACCAGGAGGAATATCAGATATATTAGAATAACTAAAAGTTAGCAGATTTTTACTCGGTGACATAAGATAAGGTTGTTAAAATGCTTTGACCCGATAAACATAAAACCTACAACACTCGTGATTAGAGAGCTTAGTACTGTGATAGTTATGCAATATCAATAATACCTGTTTTGTAAGGAATTGTTGCTGTCAACACTGGAACTAGACTCTGGTATGAGATTCTTTCTGAAGTAACTGGGAGTTCTATTCCTTTATACGTCATGAATGGTGCCATAGCTTCTGTGGTCTTTCTTGGATTGATGTCCTTAGACCTATCATTACTTGTAGTCCGAATTCTCTAGTCGTGGCCTGGGTTGTGGTTCCATCTGCTGTGGACTATTGTCTGTGGTGGTCCTATTCATAGTGCTCTGCTGAATGTTGTGTTTTCGTCCTCAGTGGCTGGTTTTATTGGTAGTTTCACCTAATTCTTTTATCGTTTGTGATTTGTGGACACATCCGCTGAGGTCCGGGCCCATGCTCATCCCTCGTGCTTTGTTGATGCATTCTCTGTAGTCTGGTTGGTTGAGGTCAATTTAGTTCTAGTTGTCTTTTCTTATATTATTTCAGATCCGGTATGGGTTATCATAAGTTGTGGTTTTGTCTGTTGCTGGTGGTTGCACCATACTCTGTGCTCTATCACTTGAGGTCCTTTTTTTTGGTTCCTCTAAGGTTTTGGTTCAATCTTCTGAAGTCTTGTTTCAAAAGCCGTTTTCCATTAATTTTGCTTTCCATGTTGTCTGTTTTGTTGTTTGTTATTTCAGCGATGGCATTTGTAGAGTTTGGTTCAATCTTCTGGTCTGTATTTGGTGCTTGTTCCATACTAATTGGTCTGTCCTTCGTCGTCATATGCTTTAGTCTGTCTTATATGTGGTTCCGTTCTCTGATTGCTTTCTGTCATCGTTGTTGCTTCCATCTTTACCGGCCCTTTTAGTATTGCTGTCCCCTTCTCTGGTCTGATGCTAGTGGTTATACCATACTTTGGTCTGTAATTAGTGGTCTTGTGCTCTGGTCTGTTTTGTTTCATTATTTCAGCTGTTATTCGTCAGATTTTGGTTCCATATTCTGGTCTGTCATTGGTGGCTGTTCCTTACTCTTTGATCTGTCATTTGGTGTTTGTTCGATGCTCTTGGATCTGTCATTGGTGTTTGTTCGATACTCTTGGGTCCGTCATTGGTGGTTGTTTGATACTCTTTGATCTGTCATTGGTGGTTATTCCATACTCTTATGTTGGTCATTCGTGGTTGTTCCACTCTCTTTGGTCGGTCATTCATTGTTGTTCCATACTCTTTGGTCGGTCGTTGGTGGTAATTCCATACTCTTTGGTCGGTCAGTCGTGGTTGTTCCATACTCTTTGGTCGGTCATTCATGGTTGTTCCATACTCTTTGGTCGGTCGTTGGTGGTTATCCCATACTCTTTGGTCGGTCATTCGTGGTTGTTCCATACTCTTTGATCCTTCATTGGTGGCTGTTCCTTACTCTTTGATCTGTTTTTTGGTGTTTGTTCGATACTCTTGGATCTGCCATTGGTGGTTGTTTGATACTCTTTGATCTGTCATTGGTGGTTATTCCATACTCTTATGTTGGTCATTCGTGGTTGTTCCACTCTCTTTGGTCGGTCATTCATTGTTGTTCCATACTCTTTAGTCGGTCATTCATTGTTGTTCCATACTCTTTGGTCGGTCATTCATTGTTGGTCCATACTCTTTGGTCGGTCGTTGGTGGTTATTCCATACTCTTTGGTCGGTCAGTCGTGGTTGTTCCATACTCTTTGGTCGGTCATTCATGGTTGTTCCATACTCTTTGGTCGGTCGTTGGTGGTTATCCCATACTCTTTGGTCGGTCATTCGTGGTTGTTCCATACTCTTTGATCCTTCATTGGTGGCTGTTCCTTACTCTTTGATCTGTTTTTTGGTGTTTGTTCGATACTCTTGGATCTGCCATTGGTGTTTTTTCGATACTCTTGGGTCCGTCATTGGTGGTTGTTCCATACTCCTTGACCTGTCATTGGTGGTTGTTTGATATTCTATGATCTGTTATTGGTGGTTATTCCATACGCTTTGGTCGGTCATTCATGGTTGTTCCTTACGCTTTGGTCGGTCATTGGTGGTTGTTTCATACTCTTTAATTTGTCATTGGTGGTTGTTCCGTACTCTTTGGTCGGTCTTTGGTGGTTGTTCCATACTGTTTGATCTGTCATTGGTGTTTGTTCCATACTCTTTGGTGGCTATTTAATACTCTTTGATCCGTCATTGATGGTTGTTACTTACTCTTTGGTCGGTCATTGGTGGTTGTTTCAATCTTTTGTTGTTCCCTCCGGTCATCTGTTACTAGTATTATGTGAATTGCTGTAGTTTGTCGAGTTTGGTCCCATACTCTTAGTCTTGTCATTATGTATCGAGGTATCTCTGCTCCATCCCTGCTCCCGCTCCAGGACTGCAACTCCCAGTATCTGCAATACATTAATCTGACAGAGTGTAATGATTTTGAAAGATTTGCTATGGTATCGTTCTACCAAACCACTTTTTGGTAAAATCGGCGATACTTTGCCGCCGCGATAAAAACGCGATACCTTCAGACTTTCGGCATCAGGCCGCGTACTGTTAAATACAAAGCACCATTGCTTGTAATAACAGTAAATCTGTTGTAGCAGAAGGACAGGCAATGGTCAGAAATAAGAATCAAAGTTGGCGTATCCAAACACTATACCTCTCCTGTCAATCAAATTATGAGCGCTGTAGATCTATCAAGTTGATTCGCCCAACATTCAACCTTTTTTTTACATGTTTTCAAACAAAGTAAATCAAACAAAATTACACACCAATGCTTTTGGAGGATTTTCTTGAAGAAAACAATGCAAAGCCAGAGAAG